TATATCGCGGTCTAAAGGTATCTTAACCTTGGAAGTTCTGCACAAACTATACCTTGTTCAGAAGCTTGTGATGAGGCCAACAAGCTGGCAAAAAGACAGGTCTTGAAACCCAGTGGTTGCGGAGTAAATTTAAGATATAGCGCATCAATGCCAGTAGTACCACTATGTGCAGTCAGTCTAACAGCAATGCCTGCAAGCGCCCGCGACTCGAACTTCGTAATTCGCTGTCTAAAGGTATCTTAACCTGGGAAGTTCTGCACAAACTATACCTTGTTCGGAAGCTGGTGATAAGGCCAACAAGCTGGCAAAAGGACAGGTCTTGAAACCCAGTGGTTGCGGAGTAAATTCAAGATATAGCGCATCAATGCCAGTAGTACCACTATGTGCAGTCAGTCTAACAGCTATGCCTGCAAGCCCCCGCGACACTAACTTCGTATATCGCGGTCTAAAGGTACCTTTAATAATTGATGGAAGATTTTTGTCATCGCAAAGCTATGCTGATGTCGCTAATCTAAGCAGAGATGGGAATATTCTTAGCTCAGCAATAGACATATGGGAGGGTGGTACGGTACATTAGTCAACATTACACATGTAAATATTAACAAGGGCTGATCCAGAGTTTAGCTGGGGTGGGGGGGGGGGGTTGGGGGGTTGAGGCTGTCTTGGTGGGGGGGGGGAGCTGAAGGGCTCTCACAAGTGACAAATTGCCTTATTTGTTAACTTTTCGGTCACTGCCGGGGGGGGGGGGGGCTCCAGCCAAGACAGCAAAGTCACAGATTCTTGTCTCCTAAAGAGATAACGGTCGTGGGATTAGGTTAATTTTGCCCCATTCCTCCAATCATCGCAGTCAAAGAGATCATCCAGTGCACAAAGCTCAGTCTCTGTCATCTTTACAAGTCCATCGCTGACGAGGTCCACCTGCAGATCCACCGAGCCCTCCGGAAACACAGCCCAGCCAATCCCAAAATCTACAGACAAGATCGGTGCAGCCATCAACTCCCTTTGTCAAGACAAGTCCAATCACATCTTCTAAACTCACAAGGGCAGCACCACTTTGTCAAATGCAGACTTTATAATAACTGCAAGGTGTGGATATCCTTGACTTGGCCCATACCGTCCCTTTTGCAAGGCCCCCCACCATCCACCGAGAAGATGTTCCAACGCAAACCTATAGTGACCTTATAGTGACCTCCCCACTTCTACTTCTACGTGTACTCAGCTGCCAAGACTATCATAAAGTTGATCTCCAACCTTCCCTGGTTCTTGTAAGACCCTCACAAACTAAAAAAGAAAGAAAAAAGTCTCGTCTCTTTGTTTAATCTTAAACTGATTCTTTCAGGGTTAAATACAAAATGAACCACATACAGGTGAACCACGCTGATATAAAACTTATCTACTCTTGGGGCAGCCTCCATCCGAAGCAGTGAAAATGTAAACAGTTGCTCAACTTCAGTGGGAAAATAATTATTTGATAGTTGCATGTGTTTCTGTTGACTAATGTACCTCCCGTACGTCCATCGCTGAGCTAAGAATATTCCCATCTATGCTTAGATTAGTGACATAAGCATAGTTTTCCGATGACAAAATCTTCCATCAATTAAGTAATTTCAATATTTTACCCCATTTGTGTTTAAAAGTATGGATCCAACAGGCTAGAATGGATCACATCCATGTTTGTATTTTTATTTTCCTTTTATTTAACTGCCACTTAGACTAAAAACCCTCAAAATCTCTACTTATTGAAAAATGTATATATATTATTATATTTATCTGGGTATAGAGTCCGGCTCTGTAGACAGTTTCCATGATGATTCAAGGCATTTTTAGAAAGATAAATATATGAACATATACCATGTCAAGCTTAACCAAGATTGGTAAAGGTATGGCCATGTATCTGGAAGATGGACCTGACACCTACCAACCCAAAGGCTAAGAATACCAGAACCTGGATTCAGCAGGACGTTGTTTAACTTATTTAAACTGTATATCATTTTCAATTTGCCAAGACCTAACTCTCAAATTAGCTCATCAGAAATTGGACAATCATAACTTAACTTCTGTTTTATGATTTGGTTGCTTTCAAGACGAAAAGTAAGCTGAAATGTTAATGATGAGCAACTTTTCGGAATTTTTTTTCTAAATAAACATGTATATATATTTCGTGTGACCGTAGCGCCCTCTATAGTTGGTTTCCATGGCAACCAAAGATATTTTTGAAAGACCTTTTCATAAAGAAAAAATGTGCTGAGTTTGATTAAGATCGGTCGAGGTCTGCTCAGGTTATGGCATTTTGTTTCGTCCCCTGCCAAACCTAGTGCTAAGAAAATGCCTTCTGAGCTCAATCAGAGGGAATTCCAATAATTGGCCTCCTGAGAAAGAGCATCCCTAAATTTTTACTGTTAACATCTTTTTTCCTATTGGGGACATGCCAAGGATAAAACATATCAGAGGCGGTGGGTTCTGGGGGGGGGGGGTTGCACTGGGACCCCCATAGCCCATGGACTATTGGGGGTTCGATGCCCAGGTTGTCAACAAAAAACATTTTGGTCAGAGCGGAAAGGGTGGGGAGGGTGACTGACGACGACACGTGACTTTTGACGTCACCACCCTTTGCAACCAGAGGTTTATATTATATCATAAATTCCCTGCTTGATAAGTGCGAGCCAGTTGCCCAGTCGGTAGAGTTGCGCGCTCCGATCATCAATCTCGGGGTTGGGGGTTCGAGCCCCAGGTTGTCCCCAACAACATTCATGTTTTTTTCTTCAGAATGGGGATGGGCGACTGACGACGACACGTGACTTTTGACGTCACCACCCTTTGCAACCGGGGGTTATATATATATTATAAATTCCCGGCTTGATAACTGCGAGCCAATAGCCCAGTCGGTAGAGTGGCACTATCACATCATCAATCTCGGGGTTTGGGTTCGAGCACCAGTTGGTCACCAACCATATTTAGCTGTTCCCAATTTCAATTGGGAACAGCTCTTGTTTTCGTTAAAGTTTTTTTTTTCCTTTTTTTTGTGGCTTTTTCGCAAAATTTGCAAAAAAGCCTTTCTTTTTGTTCTGATTGAGTGGTCGGGCACAACCCGACCACTCTCTGTTATTGTTCTGGTCAATCTTTGTTTTTTTTCCGGACAATACTTCTCCGCGGGTTTTCTCCCTAAACGGTATACGGTATGAACTTGTAACTTTCACTATATATCGACCCTCATCCGAAGTGGTGCATATTACTCTGACGTCATGATGACGTCATCGGGTGTCAAATTACAAGCGATTTTAGCTGAAAAGGGTCAAATTACCTTCACCCATAACTCTTGAACAAAATAATCAGTGATGTTTATATTCTGTAATAAGATAGACCATGAATTGATAAATATTTCTTTTCGTGTACGTGAACTCACTTGACCCCTTCTTCGGGGTCAACCGGAAGGTTAAAGTTAGGTGAATTCAAAATGAAGACTTTAGCTTGAAATCAAAACAAAGCAAAATTTCTTCCATACATTTTACGGTATGATCATAAAACCTAGTGTGAATTTGTACCACGTTACGAAGATACTATAGAGTTTGTTACGTCATCATGACGTCATCAGGTATCAAATTACAAGTGATTTAAGGGAAAATTTTGACGAAATAGTTTGCGCTATATCTTTTGAACTAAATATAGTATCGTGTTAGTTTTTCAGTGAGGTTGTAGACTATGCTGTGAGAAACAATTCTTGTCCCCGGACACAAAACCGCTTGACCTTCACTTCCGGTGTTACGGAAGTGCAATAAAAACCGAGAATAACTCAAAAGGGGAAGCATTTTACTACACACAAATCAGACGATAATTAACACTGTACATGATTGTATTACAGAACATTGTACAAATACCCTCTTCACAAGCGGACTCGGTCCTGGAGGATCTGCACCTGCTGTAAGCAATTTGTTTTCGTGGGAGAAAGGGGGCCGTATCATAAGTCCGACGCCTCATAGGTCCGACCGTACTCCGACGCCTCATAAGTCCGAAATTTCGGACTTATGAGGCGTCGGACTTATGAGGCATAAAATTTATTTATTCCGCCTCATAGGTCCGACGCCTCATAAGTCCGACGCCTCATAGGTCCGACAACAGAAAAACGAGGCGGCGTTTAATTGTCGGACTTACGAGGCGTCGGACCTATGAGGCGTCAGATCTATGAGGCGTCGGACTTATGAGGCGTCGGACCTATGAGGCGTCGGACTTATGGGCCTTTATTTGGTTAGGGGATGCCATTTTGTCGGACTTATGAGGCGTCGGACCTATGAGGCGTCGGACTTATGAGCGGACCCCGGAGAAAGAGAGGCTCGGGGGAAATAACACGCACGGCTGAAGGATCGCGACAGGCCTAGCACCAAAATGAAAGCACCTTACTGCAACACGTTCACCTTACCTGTATTTTATTAAGGCGACTACTCTTGGCCGAACGGGCTTCTTGGTTTATCATTCATCACTTCTTGCTATCCCTACGTTTTGTAGCGCCCTCTTCGGTGACATGTAAAACGAATGCCGGTGACTTTGGTGCCACCAAGCGGCGTAGGAATCACCGATTCACGGGCGTGGCCAGACCAATTTGCTGAGGTACGGTTGTGGGGGAGGGGTACACAAAATGTGGAGACTGACCACTTCTCCCTGAAACCTAGTCAGGAATTTTGTCCTATATGAGCTAACTTTATTAACCTCTTTGGTTATTTTTGCGATTCGATTAATAATATTCTGAAGATTAATATCAGAATTATAACTTGCTTTTCTTTTTATCCCCCATAGGATTCGCAATTTCCGTGCCACCAGGTGTTGCAGGCGACCTGCTGTGCCGTCTACTGCTGTCCAAGTTCCCCCTCTGGACCAGCTTCATCGCCTCGGTGCTCACTCTGACTGCGTCACCTTAGAGAGGTACTCAAGCATCGTGCCACCCCTTCCGCTACGAGGCGCTCTTCACCCCCCGGAAAGCCATCGGCATGATCATTTGCATATGAGCCATGGCCGTGCTCATGAATAGTTATTTCTTCTACATATTTTACAGCGACAGCGGCCGATGCATCATCCAGTGGCAGAGCACGTCCTGGCGAACCTTTGTGGGCGTGGCCAACTTCTCGGTCATTTACATCTTCCCGCTGAGACTGATGGGCTTCTCCTATTGGCGGATCATGCGTAATTTGCATAAAAGCGCCATGAATATGCGCCAATCAACGTCGTCGAATGGTACGGATAACCAGCTGTCAAGGGATCTCCTCACCGCGCGCAAGAAAGTCGTCAAGATGCTGCTCACGGTCGTGGTGACTTTCGCCGTCTGCTGGGCCCCAAACCAGTTCATGTTCTTCGCCTACATGTGCGGCTGGAACCTGGACTTCTCTGCCTGGTATTATCACGCCAGCGTACTGCTTGCGTTCTGTAACTCGTGCATGAACCCGATCATTTATGGATTTAAGAGCAAGCAATATCGTGGAGCGCTCAAGAGGCGCTTGGCTGTAGAAACAAAGTCGGGGTTCGTGCAGATATAGTATGTAGCATAACAACCTTTGGTGGTGGTACCGCAGAGATAAGAGGCTGTCCGGAAGACCAACGGAGGACTACATCAGGCCAGGTGAAACAATAAATAATCATTTGTGGTTGACAAACCACATGGAGCTTGGTTCGCCTGAATGATACACCATAAAGAAGCAGAGCTAGCGCAAAAGACCACATTGGAAAAACTGAAGTGTTTTTATTTTTATATTTAAAGTCACGGTCGACACATCATGAATATGCACTTGTGATTTGAAGCTTGCTTTGCACAGTACTTTAATTTGTGCACAATGAAAACCACGCAATCGCTTTTTAAAGGGCCCGTGAAGTACTTTCGTCTAATCACGATTTCTTGAATATACAAGTAATTGTGTGTTTATATCGCTGCTACCGTCAGTATTCATTTGTGTAACAATCTACATAAGGTGTGTACCATAAGAAGTATCTGGAATCACCATAACTATCACCACTGTCGACCAATAAATAAAGTTAATCATATTTTTATTCGACTAGATAGCATAACATTGAGCAATTTATTGTACACTTATGCAGTTATTTGAAATATGAAAAATTAAATTGTCTGTAGTTTATAGCTTGCGCTGTTTCAGTTTTCACAAATGTCAAAATATCGCAAAGGAAGTGTGAACACAGTTTTGCAGGATGCCGCTGACTACCAAGCTCCCTCGAAGCCTTTAGATACAAAGGAAGCTTCTTCAGTAACTATTGTACGCTTGGGAGTGCTATCTCAAAAGAGTGACTCGTTTGATTAACTACATCGCGTCGTGTCAATTGCCGAGGCCAGCTGATTACAACGCTGTTGTCAGGACAACGTTGGGACAACAGATAAACCATAAAATTATGCCATGAACATCCACGTCACCTCTGTATTCCCCTTTAAAAGAACGTATACAATGTACTTTGCGCAACCTGTTACTTGAGCAGACGTCATGGACCGGCCTACATTTTAAGAGGGATTCCGAGATAAACACTGAAGATTTATTCTAAAAAGCTGGAAATAGCGACCTGTAGTGGTGATTTTGAAGCCAAATGCCGTTTGATTCGATGAATGGGCTCTATGAAGCTTCTTCATATCAGTTGTTAATTGTACACTTGGGATTCATAAAAGAGAGGCTCGTTCTATTATATCGCTTCGTGCCAATCTCCAAGGCCTATTGATTTGGATGTTGTTGTCAACGTAATGTAAGGTCAAACTTGATGAAGCACAAATGCCAATCGCAAGCACGGCACCGTTTTATTCACGTTTGAATTAAGCTACGTGACTGATGCGTTATACTTAAATATTGGAAATATATAGGTAGAATTCGAAGACTAGCTTTTTGTAAAGGCTTTTTTGGAAATTATCAATCAAACCGTACATGATGTGAGAGACCAAACATTAATAGGGGATATTTTAAGATTTGAAGGTTTGCATGGTGGAAAAATACTAAGACAAGATAAGTTTGCAGTGACACCATGTGAATAAATTTCTATTGTGAGTATGTGTGGTTCTGAAAAGAACAGGAGGGACTCAACGTTTCGAACAGTATGCTCTGCCCGTCGTCGGGAGAATTTTTTACATTGCCTTAGTCTAGTTCCCAGACGTATTTACTTAAAACTGAATGATTCTTAAGTCAGGAGTGCTGGATTGTAACACATAGAAACCGACGAAAAAGCACGTGCTAATGAAAAGAGGTTTTAGCCTCAGTTCAGCTGACCATGACGTAATACCTCCCACGCCCACAGGGCGGTGTGGCATTCAGTCGAGCCAATGAAACATCGTTGCACTAGCACGTGAGTTTTCTTCGGTAGCTAATGTGTTACCATTCAGCACTCCACACCAGACTCGACTTAAGAACCATTCAGTTTTACGAAAATGGGTCTAGGAACGCGATCAGGAGGTCTCAGAAGTTCCTTGATGTCCCCGCCTACCTACCTAACTCTGGATAACCCATTAGCTGTTAGAAGGGCAGTCACAGGCCACCATATTACAACTCCCATAACAATAAACGTGCAAAGAAATCTATTATAATTTAACATCTTAAATTCTTCATCTTTTTTTTGTTAGGCTTTCCCGGCTATTTTAAAACGTTTATCATTCGAATTCACCGTTTCTTTTATTCAAATTCGTCCAGAACATCGATTTAGTCCACTTCACATGTTTATTTCATCTTTTGTCAGACAATTTCAAATTCGTTTCAAGCAAATGCAAACAATGAGCACACGTTTTCCTATACTTGGGTATTTGATTTCGTCTCGTCTATGCCAAGACTTGTTATTCAGAAATCAAATTCGTCTAAATGATTATAAGACGAGTTCGATCCCTGAATGCTGCCATTTGTTAACACTTTACTGAATAAGATCTGTAATGACGAATATTTGCGACCCTGTGACTTATTTTAAAGAGGGTGACCACATTTTGAAATTGAATGGTAAATGACTAAATTGGGTTTGTTAAAAGCGTATGGATTTTTTTCTCGGACGAAATTGAATGTTAAATTTTAATGAATATGAATGAAAAAGTTTTTTTTTAAGTCGGGAAATGCAGTCATATTTTAAATAGTTAAAAATTAATGTTTGACTATACACATTTTTATTATCAATGTACGATGGGAGGAGTTCGTACTGGTTCCCGTAGCATATCCGAATGGAGAGATTTGGAACCAGCGCGTAGCTGCACATGCATGTACAGCGCGCAATGGTCGATGAGCTATCCACGTTTTTACAGATCAGTGGGGCTACACCTTTTAAAGGGATTCAAAGTTAATTACTGAGACTGCTTCACTATGTGACATCAACTAAACTGTTTTATTAGCAACAAGCTGATTTACCCGATCATAGATCGGGTAGGGCGTAGTGTGGGGATGAAAATTTGGGGAGTTAAATGTAAATGGGGATATAGTTAAGGAGACATGCAGTTATAGAAAAGCAATTTCTGTGCTGTGATCTGAGGCAATTTTGACCACTAAAACCAATTTTAGCAAAAGATTACTTTTAAAGTTTTGAGTTTGGAGTAATACGGCGATTCCCAATAGTGCGCCTCCAAGAGTTTGCAACGCGTTGGCCAATCACAATGCGCAAAATCTGTCGACCCAATGCGCGTTTGGAAAAGGTCGACTGATTTCGCGCATTGTGATTGGCCAACGCGTTGCAAACTATTGGAGGCGCACTATTGGGAATCGCCCGTATTGAATCAGCTACATGTATTCTGAGCAATAGAATCATTGTTGTAGGCTACAATTTTTATTCGGGGAAGAAAAGTGAGGGGGGGGGAACCAAACAATGTCCCCCGCTTTAAAATGGGGGGAGGGGGGGGGGGTTTCCCCCTGTCCCCCGTCGATTTACGCACATGATAATTATGTACCATGGCAACTGTCTGTAAATGTTCCCGTTGGTCTGTTAAATTGGCATTTTGTGAGGCAAGTCGCATTTGGAAAACGCAGTGAAAAGGTTACCGTAGTACACAGGCGAATGCTGATTGTACAGTTTCGACAATAAATCATAATGCAATAAAACGTAAAGGTAGGTGTCATTTGAAATGAAAATGTTGAGTGTTACCATAAATTACAAACGGTCTGAATCATGGACGAAGGTCATAATAAGTTTCAGTATTGGACTCTTCAACAAACGTAAACTTGAACTTCTTACAATTTGCGAGACCGTCTGCGAGGAAAAAGTCGATTTAACTTTTATTGAAGTTGGTTCAACCATCTATATAAGAGCAAGTTTTACTCGGCCTCCGAGAAATGTTTGCTCCTGAAGGGATCCGAGACCGCGGTCTCCCTCGACACGTACACCAAAACGGCTCCACGTCCGTGGAAAAATGTGGGTGTCTTCCACCGGCGCTCGGACACTTTTCGTCGTCAATTTTTTTTGTGAATGCATCGATCCTTCGTTGACCCCAAACAGGCCCCGAAATTATAACACGACACTGAATTATACGTGGCGGGCAGCGAACTCACAACGCTCAGCCTTGGTGTGGAAGTATGGAGCTGTAAACACATTATGGAAGCAACAGCACTCTATCACGCGACGTCACATGCTTGCGCTTCAAATAGCGAGCACCGTAGACTCAACCTCGTTTCCAGGGTGTGGAGCAGGCTGCAGTACGCGTTGCCAGTGACGGTTTTTACGCATAGCCGGAAGTACCACGCAGTGTAGACTTTCGATTGGTCAGACCGCGCTAGGCATACTAATGTGTAGTCCTTCTGAGTATTCGTTGCACTCGGCACAGGGGCGGCAAGCGAAGCATATGAAAGAATAGGGACACTTGGTGGCCACGCACCATGGACAAAAATATTTTACCAAGGTCACCACATACTAAACGTTTGGTGAACTCTTTTGCAAAACAGCCGAGTAGAACACGTAAACGCGACCCCTACGTTGACCTCGCTGACCTCGCACAGTCTAGACACGCAGAAAAAGCCAGCACAGGGGGCGGCCAGGCAGTCAACGTGAAAGCGCACACGATGGCAAATTCCTGCGCAAAACGCAGTCACGAAAAATCGACTAAACGGATCGCCGGTCCGTACGGGAAAATCAGGACGACCCGAAGTGTCCGACCCGGCGGAAGACACCCTCCGCATTTTCCCGACGTGGAGCGATTTTGGCGCCGCGGGAGCCCGCTGTCTCGGATCCTTTCATGAGCAAACATCGTCTCGGAGGCCGAGTAAACTCTCTCTTATATATATAGATTAAAAGCGAATAGTGTTTCCATCCAGTTCCTTTAATTTTTCGTAAATCTGTTTCCGAAAAAAAACACATACAATTATGCGCCTGTCAATTGGTCACCGTCACCACGAAGTGACACTAAAGCACGGTTCATACTTGGCGCGAAAGCGAAAGCGAACGCGAATTTGTGACGACATGGCAAGTGTTCGCGTTGCGAATTCGCAAAAGTTGAACACATTCAACTCGGACGAATTTCGCAGCGAATGTTTCATGACGTCAACTTCGCTTCGCATTGCTTTTGCATGAAGTATGAACCGGGCTTCACATC